GGGCAGGCCAGACCTGGAAGGTCAGCTCCTGCCTGCTTTAGGCTGAGGTGCCCTGTCCCTGAAGAGGTTGAGAACCACTGCACTAGATCCTTACACATACGTTGAACATAGGCAGCTGGAATTTGGATGCTGTCAACTTGTGGCCTGAGTTGTTCTTTTGAGGAACTGCATAATGTTCTCCAATATCAGGAAAAGGTAGAATTATATTCTATTTGAAATGTAACAGTTGAATCTTATGTGTGTGTCATTCTTTCTTATTTGATAGTTTCATCAAAGATCTGGATCTTAAGTCTTTTCGTGTAAACAGCTAGCAGTTTTAGGGACCCCCCCCAGCCTATAAAAAATAATCTAATATCATGTCCGCAGGTTGGACGTACCAGTGGCCAGACTATCTGTTTAAAAGTCCAAGTTACATGTTTCAAATTAAATGTCCTGAAATATATGGTGAAGCCACCATTTGAACAAATGGCCTTGTAGTACTTACCCCAAGGTAAATGGCTGTGTGCCCTGAATGCTTTGTCTATCAAAGAATAATTTCTGCAGTTTTCAGAACACAAAAGGGGGCTTCATGGAACACGGAAATTTCTAATTATTCCTTCTGTATGTCAGTGGTATCAATTCTGTCTATCCAGGAAGTCAAACTACATTTATTTTATTGGTGAGGTGAACTACCTAGCATTAGTTGCTCAGAACAAAAGCGCTCAGAAAGATGCATGCTTTATTTGTGTCACGTTGAAAAGAGCAATGCTTAGCTTCTAAGGCCATGTATCAGCTATATCTAGGGGTGACCATATTATTTTTAAGGAAATCTAAGACACTCCCTCCCCAACCCTCACTGCCATCCACTGCTCAGGAAGGGTCAGGCTGGGCAGTACAGGTGGTTTGGCACCAGTCTGGGACTTCTGTTTCTATTTTCACCAGCCAGCCAGGACACTAGGATGGCCTACAAAATTTGGGACTGTCCCAGTCAAATTGGGACATATGGTCATCCTAGGTATATCCAAGTACCCACCATTGCCATGTAAGAGATTGAGTAAATCACATTCAAGGAAATGAGCTTGCACACTGTCACTTTCCACTTGATGGGGAGATAGGCACAGGGCTGCAAGGTGGCAACAGATGCATTGCTTCACTCATTTACAAGATCTTGTCAGGTAGACACTTTTCAATCAAATGATCAGCCTGTGGCTGCTATTGTTCTCTCTCCTCTCTCTTTCACTCTGTCACTTCTTTAATTTTTTTTTCCGGTTTAACACTTAACGTATTTAATCAACTGTAAGATGCCCCTGAATATCAAGTGACTTCCCCACAATAATTAGGATATATATAAGGAAAATTTATACATTTTTTTCCAGGTATAGAATCTAGTTACTGGAGGTTTGCCTTTAATTTGTCCCTTTTCCACTGGTACAGTAGGGAAAATAAATCTGGAGGGTCAGGTAGCCCCTTCACCCTGACTTATTGTCAGACCCTGCTCTCCCTGAGCACATGGAAGTGAGGGACAAATGTGAAAACACTGGCTTTGAAATAAATGTACCTGTTGTAATTTATTTATAAGCAAACTGCTGTGGGTACTCATAGACTTAGTTCATCCAGAATTGATGCATTTTACCTATTTTGAAACTGCTGCAAATTTTAGCACAGGTACTCCATTTAAGCAGCCGTTTTGTAACTTCTTATATAGTACAAACTATGCTTGATATTAGTCCAAAGCCCTAAAGGCTCATGATTTACCTTTATAGTTCATTGGACTGGGCCCCAGCAGAGTCAACAGTTTTTCAAGCCATGGTGACCCCATAGCTCAGCACTGCGCGGTATGTTGTGTATTCCAGATACCTCCTCCGCATTTCCCCCCCCTCCCCAAAGGATCTGTGCGCTAATTGGCCTCCACTCATGACTGGAACTGGGTATTCTTGTCATGAGTCTTGGGATCCTCCAAAACTATATGCAGACGAGGCTCAGGACAACCTGGTTGGGCTTCACCTCTTGGAGGGTGACAGGCTGGGGGGAGGGGGTGGGGAGTGACATTAGAATTCTTAGTGAACTGTTTGGGGCCCTGTTTGGTGATATTCGCCAGATATTTAAATCTAGTGAAAAAACAGGAATCGCTGGAAATGGGAAAGAAAGCTACAACTCAGCTGTGGGAGTGAAGAGTAAGTTGAAAGGTATTCAAAGTAGCGGCTCACTATGACTTGGAAAAGGGTCAGCACTGAGGGGTACTGAGCGCAGTGAATGCTACCATATATCTTATTCACATGGGCTGCACTAACCTATCCTTGTGGTAGGTTCCCATCAGTATGTTTGCCCAGTAAGGGCCATGTGTTTTATAGTTATGCTCAGGGTTGGCTGCATTTAATCAACTTCAGCTTCATAGCTGCTTTTCATTACTGAGCACATGCTGCTTTTGGCAGTGTTTTAATGATAGACAATGTATTTAATGAGGTTTCCTTGTATGCGAATGCAAGATGAAGAGCTTTTCCCTGATGCTGATTTGGGGGGTGGATCTCAGCTTATATTCAAGGAAATGTGGTAGTTTTGATGATTTCAAGTAATCTGACTTAATGTTTTTCTTTGCCTTTGTTGAAGAACTAAGGTTGTTGGTTATAAGCTTATTTTTGTTTGGGGAGTTGTTCTTCTACAGTAGTGGCACAGTTCTCTTTGCTTGTGTAGTCATCAATTTATGCCAGAAACATTTAGTTTTACTAGCTCTCTTTAATATATGTGGGAAAAGCTCTTTAGTAGTTTTAGGCATATGGTTTCTTTGTGTGTTGAGTGGTATTTTTTGCATAGTTTTAGCACAACTCTGGGATTTTGGGTGGAACTGGCAAGTCAAGAGTGGGGCAGTAATTATTTTTGTAAGTCTTTCATACCCAGGACTGTTAATGGTCACTCTTGTTCCCATGTTCCTTGAGATGGAACTTCAGTCCACAGATGGGGAAAAATATCCCATCTTAAATTGGATATAAGCTCATATATCTCTGAGCACACTCAGCAGTCTAAAATGTGACGAGGTGGTGTATACACCAGAACCAACACCATTTATAACACTTCTCAAAGACAAGAAGTTCACTTCTGGCACAGTAGGCGAGGTAGAGAGCCAGTGACAAAGAACACTCAAGAAGGCAGTAATGCATATGATTGTCAGGCAAAGGAGGTTAAATCTAGTAGCCGCATTTCATATGTGGTCAGAGATCAATATGAGCATCTGGGAGGCCAGGGGGAAGAGAGACATGACTAGGACACGGGCAAGCATTTTGGCCTTAGGACAGTGGAGGAAGAGTTTGACTTCCCAAATGAGAAAGAGGACTTGGTAATGGCTTGTATGTGACAGGTGATGGTAAACCTGGAGAAGATTGTGGCAGCTGAGAGAGAGAATGGCAGAAGAATAGGATTGAATATGTCTATTAAATGTACTGTTATATCTTCCTGTGATAACCAGGGATCCTGGTTTTCCCTGATTTATAAAATCACAAATTCCCTGGTTAAAAAAAAATGGCAAATTCTCTCATAAAAAACTAAAAATCTGTGATTAAAATTAAAGGCTCCCCACAGCCCCCTGGCCCTGCTTGTGCCTCTTATTCCCCCCAACAGCCTTGCCACCCACCCACATGCCCTGTTCCTCCAACCCTGCAGGAGAAAGCTCTCCGCTGCCAGGGCTATGGACCTGGGTTTGCAGCCCCCTGCCCCCACTCCCCCTGCTGCGGGGGGGATTGCTGGCTCCCCAAGGGTTGCAGAGGGGTGATAACAAGTGAGTGTTAGTACCACCTAGATCTGTGTGTGGGGCAGGCGCAGGCTGTGGATGCGGGCTTCTGCCCTGCTTCCCATCAACGGACCTCCTTAGCCTGGTGAGCATGACCCAGCGCAGCAGAGGAAAAATGAAACTGTGTGGAGAAGCTGCTCACAGCTGCAAGCTCCCCGCTGCCCTGGTGATGCGCCTCCTGTGCATGTGGCTGCTTTGAGGGGTGCAACTCTGCACCACTGCCCTCACTGCAGCCCTGTGTGCAGGAGGTGTGTCACCAAGGCAGTGCAGAGTGAGCAGCTTCTCCGTGCTGCTCTGGTGCTTCCTGCTGCATCAGGTCATGCCTGCTGGGCTGCGGAGGCCCCGGGGGAAGGAAGCAGGGTGGGAGCCCACACCCATAGCCTGTACCTGCCCCACATGCAGATCTGGGGGATGCAGGTCCCCCCTGCCCCTCGGGAGCGCATATGTTGGTGGGGATTCAGCGCTTCCCCTGGATGAGCCACCTGTGGGCCCCATCCTGCTCACCGCTAGGGCACTGCAGCCATGCATTGCGGCCCGGGCCCCAAGCACTGCCTAGCTGGGTAGCAGCCCCAGCCCTGCCCAGCTCCCTCCCTCCCTATGGGGGCTCAATCCTTCTCCCCCCTATCCCGCTGCACCTGCTGGAACTGCCCTCAGGCTGCAATGATTGTCCATGTGCGTGGCGCCCCCTCTCTCACTGCCTTCCTCCCATGCCAGCCTGCAGGGAACCCATTGCAAAACGGCAAAATCCGCAGGTTTGTCTGGTAAAACAAGAACTCGCCTTTGCCTCCAGTTAGAGGTAAAATCTGCAGTTTACTTTGTTTTTCTGTGGGAAATGGAAAACCTGGATCCCTGGTGATAACAAGTGAGTGTTGGGGCTGAAATGAGTTGCTATGCAGGGGGATAGAAAGAAAGGCGACTGATAAAGCAGCTTCAGCTGATGATAACGCCTGTGGTATTGCAGTGAGAATGCTGCCAGCAGGTGGATTGGTGGAAAGCCTAGGAGCTCCAATTATCCTGTGGTTATGACAGGATGGTGTTGCTTCAAATATTCACAGAGATTTCCCAGTGTTAGTCAGCCTGCCTTCTGCCACATTTTAAGTTTGCTGAGGCTGTACTGATCCCTTCATTTGCTGTGTGGAAGGCATGGCTTCAGCTTTGTCCAGACATGTTTATTTCTTTACCCTCTTGGTCATCTTTTGCATCTTAACCTACTGTGGGTGGGATTTGTTCTCTTGAATAGATCTCAGACGTTTCACAGCTACCTTGAGGACATCATCAACTACCGCTGGGAGTTAGAGGAAGGGAAACCTAACCCCCTACGGGAATCCACCTTCCAGGAGCTGCCACTTCGCACCCGCGTGGAGATCCTGCATCGTCTCTGTGACTATCGGCTTGACGCAGATGATGTCTTTGACCTCCTCAAGGTGCTTTGGGCATTATACACTATGGGAGTATAGTAGTTATCGGGGAGCTGGGCTGGATTGCTTTGAAACCCGAGTGGGAAGGAAGAGAGGGTAGGAAATATTTTGCTTTCATAGTGCTGACTTTCCTTCTTCACTCCAGCTCTTTCTACATCTCTTAGCTTCCAGACTGGGGGACAGTGCTGCAATCAGACCTAGACAGGTTACAGGGGTGGGCAG